ATAATTGTACACTTGTATTTCACTTTGAAGCATATTACGATACAGCCCAGATCAGGCCTCTGGTAGTTATGTAGGCAACTCTGGGAGTTGCATCTCCTTTCCCAAATATTACTGCAATCATCCTATCGTTGGAAGTTGCGGTATGATAACAAATACATTACGGTTCTTTGGTGGGCGTTAGATTACGGTGGAATGATAAACTGAGGAGATTTGGATGTTAACGTTATTTTTTGTCCATGGTCATTCATCACTATATCGGTTCTGTTTTTTTTTTTTTTTTTTTTTTTTTTTTTTTTTTTTTTTTTTTTTTTTTTAATATAAGAAATTAAACGCATATATTTACGTGTACGTACTTCTCATAGCAAACACTAGGTTACCATATTGTGTTATATCTTAAGTTTAACTTGTTACCATTCCGATTTTGCATTATTGTATTGTATTGTATTGTATTGTATTGTATTGTAACATATTGTATTGTATTGTATTGTATAAGTGCCAGCCACTAAGAAATAAATGAACTGAATTGAACTATACGATTTAATCTGAAGCAGTGTTGTTTGACAGAACTGGATGAAACGAGACCATCGCATGCTTATCGCTTTATTGAAAAAAAAAAGAAAAAAATATATATTGGTTGAAATTCTACTTTTTATGAGGGTTATGCAAATGCCTGGAGTGAGGGAAAGAGTGAAGCCCCTAATGATGCCTTATGTTGGTATTGTCTATTCCACTCAGTAATTAAAGGATAGGAGACGTTTAATATAATAATTAAAGAGTGGGGATAAAAAAGACTGGCGGTGGGCAGAAAAAGAAAGGAACTTTGGCAGAGAGAAGGAATATTCCCATTGGAGGACAGTTAAGTGATGACGTCAATTCTGTGTCACATTACTCGCTGTTTTGTACAGAAATGTGCACAGAATCAGTCAGAGAAACATCTGTCAATCGAATGCTTCTCCCATAGCTTGAGAAGCACCTCTTCTACATGCAGCCTCTCCCTCAGTTAAAAATAAAGGTATGATATCGATAATTAGAACTTTCCAACCACCAGGGACAGTGCACCCCAAGGCACACTGAAAATCTAAATTGTCCGTGTACATCCCTGAGGATAATTTTATTATCACCAAAGTTTCAACTTCTTAACTTCAATGTTCAAGGAGGAGATAGTGGGTATTACATGTACAACGGGGGAAAACTAGAATCACCCCCAGGGATAGCCCTACCCACAAATGCAATGAATATCCTAATGGCCCATGCACAACCCTGACGAAAGGTCTATTAATCACCACTGTGAACTTGAGGGGGTGGGGGGTAGTATTTGCCCTTTCCCGAACAACTCCTTTGGACGGGTACTGTAGATTTATAGTTGATGATACATTATTAGTTATTATGGTACTTTGGCAGTAAAACTTGTGGTAGTTGTGAAATTGAGTGTTGTGGTATAGTGGTATTGTGGTACTGTGGCAGTAAAAAGTGCTGTAAATGTGACATTCAGTGTTGTGGTATTGTGGAACTGTGGCCGTGAAAGGTGTGGTTGTTGTTACATTGAGTGTTGTGTTACTGTTGTACTGTGGCAGTAAAGAGTGCGGTAGATGTAATATTGATTATTGTGTTATTGTCGAACTTAGACAGTGGAAAGTGTGGAAGATCTGATTATAGCTTTCTGTAAAATATGCTTCATACCCGCTTCCCGTAGCTCTTGAATATTCAAGAATGAATCGATAATATGGACAAGAGAGAGAGAGAGAGATTTCATATAAAAGGTGTGCTCAACAAATGCAAGACATAGTTCTCGTTACATTTGAGCAATTTTCTTTCTAACTGCAAACACCCGTGTAATTGTATTGTTCCAATGCAGCAAGAGCTCAGTTGGCAATGACCGTCTCTGGGCAGTCAGTTGGCAGCGCATAACGAGTATGATTATTGTTTTAGTGGAAGTGTTAGCAATTAAATAACTTGTGAAGGATAACTTACGTAAAGATTATTTTTAGATGAGATTGCATTATTTAAGCTAGAAGAATTTAATTGGTTTATTTAGTATATTAAGTAGAACGTATCGTTTAGTTTTTTTAAATTTCTCTTGATGTTTCACTGTACTATTTTCTTTTTTTTTTTTTCTACTTTTCACCAGTTCAGTACAGTTTGGCTGAGATCAGTTCATTTTAATACAGCTCATTAAACAGTAAGAGTTCAGTTCTTTGGATGACTCGGCAGCATTTAATATCTAACGATGATTGTTCGTATTTCTTACTCGTTGTCCGCTACATTATGGAAATGTCACAATTAAAAATACTGATATTTAAATTGTTTGGTACCAATTAAAACTCAAAACAATACCATTTGTGATTTACTTAAGTCGTTGGATATTTTATCATTGTATCTATCCCACCAAAATGGACGCGAATTGTTATGGACTGACAAGTTACTGATACACTGGAGAGTAGTACACAGTCTTATACTGAAGAAGGTCACGCTGTGACCGAATGCTTTGATTATGTTTTTTCATTTTGTGTAGAAATTATGATTAATATCAAAGGACTTCGCATATGAATTTTCTTCAGAAAGTATAAATTAATGTATTGGTGTTTGATTTTGAGATTTTTATGAGTAATAAAACATGACTGTATTAAATGTTGTTCAATTTTATATTTGATGATATAATGTCGTATACACATAGCATTCTTCACGTGATAATCCAAACCAAAAAAGCAGTGGACTCGAGATCTCATGATTTCAGTTTCATCTCTTCTATCTCAAGTACCGAATGACCTAGTCTTTTTTAAAACTTCCATGCACTTCTGTATGCTTTTATGACTAGTAACAACAGCTTGCTTGGCTACAATTATCACTGATCAGTCACTCGTAACGCGATATCAGATCATTTCTGTTAAGCCGAATAACAATGTCGGCTTTGCGAGATAATGATACCCTAGCTATTACATTCCCTTTACTTGGGGTGCAGGTTGATTTTTGCCAAGATATTCACAGATTTGTCTCTGGCTTAATCATGATAACTTTTTAGTGTGTCCAGTGCGATTTTTTGCTAAAAATTTATTTCATTACTTTCAATTTTTGTAGGTTACCTGAAAAAGGCCACCAGAGTAGGTGAGAAGACATCTAGTAGAGATAACAACTATGAAATGGTGTTATTAAAAATTAAGAGAAATCAGTCACCTTTTTAATAACGATAATAAACAAGAAAAGCACTAAGTATTATTAGAATTTGTTTTATAAATTACTATTTTATTTACTCAATTCTCATTATTAATTAATGAATTAATTAAACAATTAATTAATCACCAGCAAAACGGTGTCATTTCTGAGCTGTCTAGAAAATTTCATCAAATTCTTTCCATAACCATTGCAGAATGTTGCTAACAGAAAAAGAAATTCATCAAATTTTTTCCATAACCTTTGCTGAATGTTGCTAACAGAAAAAATGATCAAATTCTGTCCATAACCTCTCCAGAATGTTGCTACCAGAAAAACAAATTATTATTACTTTTTTTAATTTGATAATTATAATAATGGTGATAATAATTATAATATTAACAATCAAGTTCTTTAAAACCGTGCTGCCCGTACAAATCAGCCAGTGGCAGATTTGGGGGAAAGGGGTCAGGGGGTCCTTAACCTGCAACCCCCCCTTCGATTTCCGAAAAATAAAAAACACCAAAAGTCCCGTCTTGAAATAAGAATTTTGACTAGCTGTATCATAGTTCTAAACCAAATGGCACCGTTCGCCTTCTAAAATACTCCAAAAAAATTCAAAGCCCTTCAGCGGGCCCGAAACCCACGTCAAGGAGGGAGGGTCGGCTTGGCATCCGCCCCCCCCCCCTTCAATTAATCCTGGATATTATTATTATTATTGCACCACTAACATTTCTCTTAATCTTTTTTCCATCTGTTTTCCACTCCAGACATACGTAATAATTAAACTTAGGGGTTTAAGCGCAATTTCGATTTCCTTTACCTTCGATGCCATTTCTTCTTGGAAATGTATTAAGATCGCAAGTATTCTTTTGTCACGAACCAATTATCTGTCATCATTACCAGACTGANTTCAAAGCCCTTCAGCGGGCCCGAAACCCCCCGTCAAGGAGGGAGGGTCGGCTTGGCCCTTGCCCCCCCCCCCCCCCCCCTTCAATTAATCCTGGACCCCCCCCCCCCCGCCTCTGTGTTGTGCACAATAATCAAATGTCTTATGTGAATTATTCATTATTGGGAGAAATAGTGTAGGTTACCCGATACAATAATTTTGACTCTTTTCGTTTGGCAAGTATTAAACGGAAATATATTCTTGATGCTAATTAAGGAAGGGACTACTCCTTCTATCGCAATTCCGTGATTACTTGTTCTAAAAGAATTACTCACGCTGAGCTGCTCCTTAGACAATTTTAGTGACTCAACGCAGATTGATTTGTTACTATCGAACCTACATTTATTTATTTATTTATTTATTTATTTATTTATTTGTTTGTTTGTTTGTTTGTTTGTTATTTATCATCATCATCATCATCTTATTATTATTATTATTATTATTATTATTATTATTATTATTATTATTATTATTATTGCACCACTAACATTTCTCTTAATCTTTTTTCCATCTGTTTTCCACTCCAGACATACGTAATAATTAAACTAAGGGGTTTAAGCGCAATTTCGATTTCCTTTACCTTCGATGCCATTTCTTCTTGGAAATGTATTAAGATCGCAAGTATTCTTTTGTCACGAACCAATTATCTGTCATCATTACCAGACTGAAGAACCTATTTCAACAACTAAAGTTACATGTAATATCTTAAATGACAAAGCGGATATATGTGACAACATTTTTCTTTCGACTCAGCCACAAATATTTTGATCTGTTAACAGCGATCCTTGAGGCAGAGGGTTTGAAATTGAAGTATTGATAACGTATAGGTAAAAATCACCAAAACGATTGTTTTTAACTGTTTAACGGTAATATAAGGGAATACCTTGCACTCCGCCTGCCCTGTTTTGATTCTTCTTACTTGATCTTTTCGTCCTGCACAAGGAGACACAAGTATCCAAAAATTATGACAGGATCAATTTTTATTGGTTTACTTCAATCAAGGATAATTCGGCACTAGATTTAATGAAATATCAAAATAAATAAATAAATAAATAAATAAATAAATAAATAAATAAATAAAAATAAAATAAAATAAAATAAAATAAAATAAAAATAAAAAAGGAACACAAAAAAGTCAACCTAACTCAGAAGGAATTCATTCATTTTTGTCAATGCAGGCCCATTTCCCAATATAGGTGCACTACTAACTGAATTACCTCTCGGGAATGTAATTTTTTACAGTATTCAAGTCAACATCAAGTCAAGTTAAACTTAAGCCATTGTTTCTCTTGTGAAATTGTCCCCAGATGCTTTCTGTACTAAATAAAAGGGAATTTTATAATAATACATGCGATTTTAATATGCATGAAACTACAAATGGAATCATAAGAGTATCGTAAGAGTTGGATAATATGACACAGAAAGTCCATAAATCAAAGTTCTCTACTAGGAAATTAGGTGAGCACCTTGATTCAGTCTTTACCACTAAGCTAAAAGCAAAAACTATAAAGTGCTGGAGCGAGTTGTTTCTAACTAACCGTTCACAAAGGTTAATGATAAAAGACTAAGAACAAGGAGACGCGAGAAGTGGCAAATTGAACCGACGGGTTTGTAATTAATTATCTTATTGACTGGAGATTTGTATAATACCCCTGGAAAGCTTACGTGAGATAATGCACCCACATGATCTAGGCCAGATCACTTTGAGCGCCAGATAAGATGTTCAAGGCATTTGACGCGAGAAGGTTGCAATGTATTATTGGCATACATATCGAGAAAGCATACTCGCACCTCCCTCTAAAACCGATTTAAGCTTCACATACCTGTAGCATATATATATATATATATATATATATGAAATACAATATGAAGCGGATCTGAAGCTTTAAAATGGAAGTCACGTTTTACCGGCAAGAGCTAATGTATGGTAACTAAAAGCAAACTTTTGGGAGTTGAAGGTATTTGGTGTTATGGACGCGTGCATTCATATTCAATATTGGTCATTTTGTATGCTTGAGGAATTTCATTTTTATTTAAAAATTACTTTAGAGAAAATATGCTCAATAACATTCTTATAACTGTCACTGAAAACGACATTATGCCCCCATTCCTACATTTAACACTGAACGAAGGGAACTGCATCAATCCCTTTTCCAGATTAAAACGCCACGCTGACTTATCAACGGATGTGTGTCACAGTAAAGGACAGTCACAAGCCGACAGAGTGAAGTTGTCTCTCAAATGCTGTTATTTTCCAACTTAAAAGTTCAATGCGAAAATAAGACGGGTTTCGGAGAGTCATACGATTAATTCTTGACATTAGTTGAACCCAATGTTAATATGTTATAATGGCAATTCTAGTCGAAAATTGCTGCAAGGTCCTTTTTACAAGACAAACATCGAAAGATCTGGGAAATTATGTGAGGCATCATCGTATCAGTAGGCGTATGCTTGCATGGTTTATACGTGCAACACTTACACGGCGTCTTTTAATTAATATCAGTTGTCATTGAAAAGTTACGTTAATTTCGCATCAACTACATAGGCCAAGTTAAATCGCGAGACGTTAATTGCCAGCTGCCTACACACTGTATAAATGCATGCTCCAGTAAGACATGAATTCAGACTTCTCCAGCTTGCGAGAGCGACTTTAATTTCCGACGCTTTCCTCTGCTCTGCAATCCTGTTAAACTTGTAAAAGCCATGAATACGACTGAGATGCCTATCAATGGTACCTCATTTCTTGAAAAAGAGGAAAATGAAGAGGACATTCCTGATTTGGCCTTCGTCAATCTGTTGTATTTCGCGGTAGGTGGCATTGGGATTTCTCTCGTTATTGTGGTTGGCCTTATTCTGAATTTTCTCTCGATGGCTGTATTTTCACGTTTCGAAAAACGGAGCTCGACTTCGTTCCTTTTGATATGCTTGGCAGTGGCCGATAATATCCATCTTTTAGCGACACTCTTAAACTTCAGCCTCCAATCCATGTACCCTTATACTGGGTGGTTCAAAGAATACTTCTTTACCTTGATGAAACACTCCCGGCTTTTGTGGGGGTTAAAATATTCCCTCTTCCTGATCCCACCCTGGCTTGTAGTGCTCGTAACGTTCGATCGTTATCTGCACCTTTGTTCAGACAACGGCCTTAGGAGTGGACCAACCGCACCCATTAAGATTTGGGCGTTTAGAGTTGGCTGCATCGTGATTTTTGCTTTTCTCAACAATGTACCACGATATTTCTTTGGATCCTTGCCTGAGCGTCCTTGTCCCCTGAACACAACATCCCCTGTTTTTTGTCTAGGCGCCCCATTACCGGTTTCAGAATACCACAAAGCGTATACTGTTTTTTCTTACGTTTTTGTGCACTTTTTGGCTCCTTTCATTATCATCTTGGTTCTGAATGCCAAGATGGCTCACTACATGAGGGTTCTTGCCAAGAATCCAACCATGATTGCCATGCACAAGTTGGGTGTTCATCGTACTTTGATCAAAATGACTTTGGTGATCGCCCTAACTACTTTGTCCGCCTCCTTAACAGTCTCTCTGTCTTGTCTCTTTGGACTCTTTGGAAACCAGCGTATTGGCGAAATGCGAGGCATGGTGTATGTATACCCAGTCATGGTTTTGTTCTGTACACTTAGCTCCTGTGTAAATTTCTTCATTTACGGCCTTTTCGGGGGAAAATTCAGAAGCACTTTGAAGTCGTTGTGTTGCCATCAAAAGCCAAACAAGAGAGGGCAAGCTGCTTGCGATATGGCAGAACGCAAAAGACGTGCAGCGCCAGACGGGCCAAAGCCTGGAGTGCGAGCTATCAGCACCATAGGTTCTGCTTGAGCAGGAGTGACAGTCCTTAGATAACCAGGTAAATGAGCAATATAATACGTTTGTTTGTCTTTGGTATTTTTCATTCTAATAATAATAATAATAATAACTATTATTATTATTATTATTATTATTATTATTATTGTAAGTAGTAGTAGTAGTAGTAGTAGTACAGAATAGGCTGCAGAACGCAGTGTAGCAAACAGTATTATTGCAATGCCTGTAGTTTTGTCTAGTTTTTTGTATTGTTTTGAGAATGAAAGTAACTAAATAATTTAAGTCATTAACATCCAGGTATATATACTATACAAGCCAGGCTATTATAGTATACATATCTGAGCATAACAGGCATGGCTTTCATCTTGGGTTTTTTTTTTTTTTTTTTTTTTTTTTTTTTTTTTTTCTTTCTTCGGTTTAAGTATGTACTCCTTCAGTAGTGTTTTATTCAAAGATCTAGAGTATATTCGTTTTTTTTTTTACAAAAAATCCCAATATTCTGGATGAGGTTTTTAAAGTCAGCCTGATAACATGTTTTTTCTTTTTGTGTATTTTGTGGACATTGGCCTCTATAGTGCAAAATAATTGCCTTATATTTAAAAGGCAGGTTCCTTTAAAAAGTAAGCATGATCGGAATATTTTTATTTGTTTGGTTTCTTGCATGTATTTTTGGCGACATTGAACTAATAGTAAAAACCACCAAGCCGTATTTTTTTTATTGAATTGGGGTTGCTATGTCTTAAAATCCAACCAAAATAACATTTGATATTTTCATTGGTTACTGGAAGTTATGTCTTGCAATAATATGTGTTCCTATGTTAGTGTCTCTTATTAGCCATGCACATCTCACTTACCTGTCACATTTGTCATGACATGTTTTAAAAATGTTCTTATTATTTATTATTATGCACATCTTTTATAATAGTACGTGTACGTGTTTGATGAATTTTCATACCCCGTATTTAACATCTGTGAAATATGTAAGGCGAGCAGATACAATCATGCATTTGGTCAGAATTGCACAAGAGATTGTGAAGTGCACAAGCGTCAAAACTAAGCTAGATGTTCTGAAAGATTCTAAAGAACCAGGAAAAAGTAATCTATAGGATGGGAAATCGTAAGTGCATATAAGTAAATTTCTAAATGAATGTAAGACCTTATATTGGATTTTAGTTGAAAGCACAAGTAGAAAAAGAAAGGTATAGGGAGGATCGCAGTAACACATTTTTTTTCAAAACTTTTTAATCACGTGGTGCTCGGTAAAAACTCGGACAATATTCAAAATTTTCACCATATTACTTTACTAGAGGTCATTGATTCTGATTCATTGAATTTCTTTGTTTTATATCAGTATTTGTACCAACTTTGGTATCTAGTTCTCAGCGGTATTGAATATGTTATATGTGAATTAAGGAAAATTTTACTTAACGCATATTGAAAATTGAAAAGAAACGTATATTGTATAATTGCAGACCTTGACTGCAGTTTGCCAAGTACGGTGTGGAAGACTTTGACATTACCGATGCTGACAGAGTTTTTCTTCTGCGTTAAATGAATAGCGAGCACTGCTAGAAGGCAGACCTCCGCCAAGGCAGAATGCACATGCACATATTTAAGAAGTAAATGAATTATTTTAAGATATCAGGAGAGACGGATCCGCTTGAACTGGATTTCCCTCCTGAATAACTGTTTATCCTGAAAATTTCTACATAATTGGTGAAAAAGTGCTACATTATTTGTCCACAAATTTACAAGTGACTATGGAATTATGATAACTTCCGCAGGCCACAGTGAAAATTTACTGACATTGGTGGATAGTTCATGCATAACTGACACAATACAAATATACTATTTATAAATCGTTAAAAACTCAGCAACCTGGACGTATCTTGGAACATCAAACGTAAAGCCATAAAAGGAAGAGTCATCTTCGTTTGATAAGAAACAAGGCGATATCACACGCTGAACTTATAGTATTGGAAGACTTTGTCAAATTTGAAACAATTCCTTGGCGTTGATTCACCATAAATGGATGGACAGAATGCCGTTTATTATATCCCAGCTACTCTGCTTCTCTTAATTCAACAGTGACTGAATCCAAAACTCACTGTACATAATACAAAGTTTTCCAAGCCGCCCTTCTCAAACCACGGAGGAGAGAATGATGCTTGTGCCGCAGCTTTGGATAAGTTTCAACCACTGCACGCACTATGTATGCTACTCCCGTGACTAGAGAGTGCAACATTTAGGTCTATGAGAAAACACAGCTACGCCGTCTGAATGTAAAGCTTCGAGATCTTCTCAGCCAGATCCATCTGATTATTATAGAAATTTGTTGTATATTGATTAATATTCCTTAATCCCAGGTTTTATTAATTTAGTTTATCGAACTAATTGTAGTTTGTTTTATATGGTGTGAAATTGCTTAAATCAAAATATGCTCTAATATTTTTAAGGGCAAGTATTTAATGGAAAAGATGTATATATATTTGGAGACATAATTTCTTTCTGTCATACGTGTAACTTGTAATGTAAAGTTGAATATACGCCGGTAGATACTTAAACGATTTTGCTCAGCCATCTACAGATCACCTATGGAAGAGAGTATAGATATAGCACAAATCGTCTACAGCATGCGACAGAGTCATTAAACGAGGAGTTGTCGACATAATTACACTCTTGGTTGTAGCACACAGTGGGAGTCAATTAAGCCCCCTTTACACTGGACGGCGTCCTTTCTGCGTCCAGCAGTACGGCCCCATTTGAGAGTTTAAAAATTATAATATTTTACGTGCCGACAACTGGCCGATCATTGAGCACTCATTCTGATACAAAATTAATGCTCGTGCCTCCTTATTAAGACCCCAGCGATGCCAAATTTCATGGTCGCAGAGAGGACGCAGAAAGGACGCCGTCCAGTGTAAAGGGGGTATTACTCGTACATGAGTATCAGTGCTCTTCAACAAATGTCAACTGAGTGAAGGCGTCAATTATGAGCAATTATTAATAATTAGCCAGAGAAATATCTGTGAATATCTAGCGAAAAGCGATCTGTGCCTCTTGTAGATAGTAATTTGTAACCGACTTATACTACGGTTTGATCATCGAATGGCAGGATAATTGTACACCTGCATTTTGCTTTTATTGCAAAATTGCAATATATTAGAATGCAACGCAATGGTAGTACTTTAGCCAAGTACACCCTAGCGTTCGTAGCTGCGGCATCGTAACAAATACATTGGGACTCTTTGTTGGGTCTTATATCGCTGAGGAAATTTGGGTACCTAATGGCGTTTATTTGTTGTTTTGTCATTTTTTTTTTATACATGGCCTTCTCTAAGCTAACGCTTAATATGTTCATTACTTATAGTGTACCGAATGACCACCATGTTATAGAATTTTTTACAGCTTAAGTCGACTTTGTTATTAATCTATTTGGGCACTGTTGACTTGTATTGCACTATATCTGATATGGCATCCTGCGCTGAAAAATAAATTAAATGCACTGAATTGAACTGTACGTTTTAATCTGAAGCACAGCGTTGGAGTAGTTTGCCAGAAACACAGTTTACGACGAGGGCATAACGGATGATATGAGGTCATCGCGTTAATGAAAAAAAGAAAAATTGTTGCCTGTTTATAAAATAGCAGCCCAAACGTTTAAATTCTTCTCTTTTGTGATGGGTATACGAAAGGGGGGGGGGTTTACAGGATGGTCCAGAGATGTTTCCATTTTTGATACAGTGGCATTGTTCACTGAAAGGGAAATTAAATGTTTTCTTACAGACATGTCTCACAAACAGGCCTGTTTTGTGTGGAGTAAGTTTTTCCCCACAAACACCATCATTTTGCGAGCTTGCATCGAGCACAAATGAGTCATTAAAACTAGCTGCGCTAAAAACTTGAAGTCGATGTTTTATTAATTTTTAATCAAAAACTTTATTGTATGCAATCATGATATGGTTATCAACCTCGCGTTTTTTCTTTGCCTCACTTCTGTTATTAGTTCTAGATTCTAGTGTTACAGTGTAGTTTTAGTTCTATATCCTATAATTTAAAAAGTGTCAACAGCATACTGGCATATCTTTACATCTAATCTGGTTATCTGTATCCCTATAATCTTCTTATTTTCTCCAAGTATAATAAATATGTCTCAAAACATGTTATGGATATGAATGGTGATATTGGGTCACCTTGTCGACACCCTCGATGAAAGAATGACGAGAAGATACCATGATGAGTCAAGACAATTTTAACTCGTTGTTCAAATATTGAATATTTCTGAATATTTTTTCCAATCTAAAGAATTCCAAAACTTGATCTTTAAACCCATGTTGACGAATGGTGTGCTTTTGATGATGAATGATAATCCTTTTCTATCATCTACAAAAATTTCATGACATTATACAGCTGTCTTATATTTTCATCTGTTAATCATACACTGATAATTCCCTGCTGATTATCATGAATTATATCGGGATTGTTGTTTTCAATCTACTTTTCAATCTACTTGGAAAACACTTTGAAATTATTTTGTTAGAGGTATTCGCTATTAAAATAGGAAGCTAGTTTTTTTTTATTATTTCCTCATATATAACCCCCAATCTACCGTAAAGAACAAAGATAGGTGACTTTTTTGTCATTTATTATCATTTCCTGACTGGATGAAATGTTTTTCTGTTCCATAATGTGGCATATTTTTCAAAATTAGCATTTCCCTGAAAGAGCTCACCTCCGAGTATCCCGATTTTTTTCCACATACAGCAAGGGCGATTGTAAGGTACATCAACAGGACGCTCACCTAAAATACAAACGGATATGCTTAACAAAATACGCTCTCACACGGCAGTTGCGGATATAGGGGGAGGGATGTCAGGTGGGTCCTGAACCCCCCTTCTATTTCTAAAAAAAATTACACCAATGGTTATCTCTTGAAATTAGAATTTTGACTAGCTGAATCATAGTTCTAATTGGACAATATCAGATGGCACCGTTCGCCCTCTAAAATACTAATGCTTTTCGGGCTCCCTTCAGCATCCGCGACCCCTCCCCCCCCCCTTTCAAATAATCCTGGTTCCGCCCCTGCACGATGTTGACAAACTGTCTAAATTCGTACTGGAATTGCGGTTATTGTCCGGACAGAGGCAACTATCTCCCGGATAATTACGAAAAAATTACTTCTGGTATTGTAATTTAAGACCTACTGTGATTTTGCAACAAATGTTAATCGGTCAAAAGTTAGCCACGTTGCCAACAGATACAATGTCAGATAGTGACATTTATAAATCAAGTAAGGGGGGAGGGGGCAGAAAATGTTACGTGCTAAAATGAATTAACTGGCTTTAAGAAAACTTCCCATCCTAACTGTACTTACATCCCCCAGACAAAGACCCGTAAGCACACCTGATAATGTGCTGAAAGGATAGTTGTCCAAGACACTTCCTCCGAAGATAGGACCAGTGAAGTCCCTGAAAACAACCATGGCAAAGTTCAAAATGCTGTTTTTATCTGCAATATGAATTTGAATGACATGGTCATTTTTAAATAAAAATGTGCGTGTGATATCAAGAAACAGGAGGTTTAGCGTGCTTTTGTGGACAAGGACGCCTTGTCTGCACAGGGGCATGTTAACTGCTAGGTTGAAAGTGAATTTGTTTGTTTGTTTGTCTGAGGGATAGGGGACTAGGATATTGCCATTCTGAAACGCCACATTCTTTATTCAACACACCGGCACCCAAAAAAGCGTGGGAAATGAAAGATTCCGAGACTAACAACAAATGAAAAGTAACCAGGCCTTCGTATCGCTTTCCCCTCACCTTCGGAGGATACGGATGCATCTCCATATAACCAAATTACAAAGATGCCATTAATATCTATTATTCTCTTTCTTAACTGGAGTTTTGCTAAATGTACCTTAGGAAACGCATTTGCAAATAATAATAATAATGATAATAACAAAATAAAATAAAATGATAATAATAATAATAATAATAAATTCATGTTTCTAGAATGAAATTAAGAAGATACTTGCCCTATTCCCCCAGACGCTTCAAAAGTGGCTGACAGACTCCCGTACGTGGTCATATCATCTGGTAAGCCCGAGGCACTGCAATAAAAAACGACCAATCTCACTCATTACAATAACATTTATGTCTTCTTTGATCTAAACCGACTAAAATAATATGATATAACAATTAAAAGAATAGGACAGACTCAAGTATGACGTTCGAAATTTGGCCGATGACGGCCGCACTTATCGAAGGGCCATCTGGTAACAGAAGTCAAGTAATTTAGTTATAAACATTGTACGATGTTAGGTAATTATTTTTTATGCCTGAAAAATCTACAGTTAATATATTATTTCCAAACAAATAGTGCACATATTTCAGTTTGTGGAGGTACAAAGAGCCAAGCCATTATAGATCTCCACCAGAACTGTGGAACACGATACGTCGCAACTAACGCAATAACATGCAGTTTAAGTCGTGTTTTTATTGCACAATTGGCCATTCTTTAGTCAGTTTTTAAAAGCAGAAACTCACGTTGCATCTAATAAACGGTCTGCCATTACTGCTACGTTGGTACACGCCGAGCCTATCCCAAGAGTGCAACTTCCTAGGTATATACTCCACGACGCCCTAAAATATAGACCAAGGCGTCCAAGCAAATTATAGTTATAATCTTAAGTTGTAATATATATAATAGTTTCACTCTAAATTGGAAAAAACATTTTGCCAACTAGGCATGCTACTAAATCAATGTTCAATTTTTTAATATTCGAAACTACTATGGTAAAATGTTACTGCAATACCACCGACAACGTTTTATTTTGTTTCACTTGTGGAAAACATTACCACAGATGAATGATTATCAACATGTGTCTTATAATTTACCTATCAAAGGTCACGATCTCAAATCTATACATAGAATGGATGTACAGTGGGCCATACACTCTTTTTAGCTTCGGAAGAGTTGCCTTTACCATCATCCCGGCCTATTTCCCCGCCCTAACCCCAACAGAAAAAAAAGCAAATCTACCGTAGACAGATCCAGGCATTTTTTATCTTGTCCTCCATTATCGATACTACCAAAATGACTTTCTCCCCCTAGGCCCGTACTTACCCCTCACCATTAGGGTACAGACTCGTAACTGGAATCCAGGGCCCCACTAGAGTATAACCTAATGTACACACAAAGAGTCCAACAATAACCTGCACTTTATTGCGGTTCTGGAATTGAAAAAAATTACGTGACCAGGGGTAATCCTAGAGAGGGGTGAGAAACGTCCATTGTTCTCGTCAGCGAGGCTGGCTTTTTTCAGGGTATGTACGCACAGACAGAAAACTAAGTATTGTGGGAACGTTACTAATGAAGCCACTGGTAGTACTAGTAGATATCAGCCTGTAGTCTTGAACAAGCGCCTCGATGACGAGTGAACAGTTGTCAAAAACAAAAGACCCAGGTGTGGTAGTTCAACCACTGTTCATGCGTGCCGCATCGACCAAACCTAATTGCTCCTCAAGGTCACAAAACAATATCCGGTACTGACGGCCAGGCACGTCTTAATCATATAAGTAGCGCGTTTCCACCCCCTGACGTGACATAAAATGGCGCCATTTTTGAAACTGGTATAGAAAACCCTTAGGCCTACGCTAATCAACTCTAGCTCCGGATATTTCTACTAATAATCTGCTTACCTTAGCAGTAACGAAATCCCTTTCCTAAAGATAACCGATAGAAATCAGCTAGGATTTCAACCTCTCTCTCTATCTTGCTTCACAGTTATGGCGTCGTCCTTTGTTCTTCACGCTCCTAGCTGTAACCTACTCCTTACAGCTATCGAGTTACTCGCAAACTGACACTCAGCCTCGACTCGGAATCGAGACCAAGACAAGCCACCGATGCCGGATCATTACACTATAGTAGGGCCTACATCACACGTGTTACATATCATTGATAACACATTATTTACATTTTGATGAGTTAAAAGGGGCACAATTATACACACGGCATGGTCTGTAGATGTGTTAATTTGCTTTAAGACACGCCCGCTACGTTCTGTTACGTTCTCCCATACGTATAGAACAATGTACTTTGAGAATAGCAGGTTCATAGAGTAACCACTGGCGGCCTTAGAAGTTATTATCCCTTAAGTAAATCAGCTTCTATAAAATCAAACTCAATACCTACCAATTTATTGGATACTAGTCCAAATAGGGGCACGGTGAATGTGTATGTTAAGCCTATCAGAGAAAACGCAAGACCGATCATCACGTGGTTGCCCTCTAAGCTGCTGTCCACCTGGAAATAAACAGGAAATTACATCCATATCATCTATATTGATATGATACAGTTTACTTCAGTTTTGTTCCAACTGCTTGTAACAGACACCTGATGAATGGGCTCGTGCCCTAATTATAAAATTGTCACAAGACCTAACTATACGTAGGCCTAAAGGTCAAATGACGTCAGCCACCAATGACGTCATCATTTGCTCAGAGATCAATAGAGACTGTTACAAAATATTTCAATTATACATCCATTTATTCCTATTAAAACGTGTTGCAATTATTTGCTTCCATAAACTGCCTGCTTTTTATAAATGTACAGGAGCGTTATCCAATGAGTTTCAACATCTTTGACAAATCCATTTGCTCAAACACGGTTAAGCATTTCGCTTGTGCATTTCAATTGTATCAATTTTAAAATACATTCCGATAAAAACAAGCTGACAAGTATTATAATTTAGGTGTTAGATCTACCAGCTTACGTTTTCCAAGTGGCGCCCAAGTGTAGGGGATAAGGACCCGATTCCGAAATACATTATAAACACCGCCATGTATTCTAATACAGCGACAGGCTTCTTCAATATCTGCAGCACCTGACCGTGTTGCGAAGATTTTTCTAAAATAAATGCAAGAAAAATATATGAAATTCCGGAGTACACATTAAAGAATCAGCAAAGCAATACGTTTAATTTCAGCGGTCAATACTACGCGTCCACTGACTTGAAATGCAATCAGTTATTCTCTGAATGAAGGAACACTATAAAAACATGCAGATGTTGTAATATATCATTATAAGATATTGTGTTAACTTTCTCTCTACCTTCTATACTACATTAAACAGACGTTATAAAAAAAAAACTACCTGAGGTACAACCCCTTTCTTCAAAATGGTATTCTTGATAAGTGATAGATACAATACGAGTCGCCGAGCTGTACGTGAAATATTACGAGTGTATTGGCGAGCCGCAGGCGAGATAATACACGAGTAATTTTCACGTACAGCTCGGCGACGAGTGTTGTATCTGGCTTAAACCACGGCCTCTGATTGGCTACTACACTAGTAGTGCAACAGACCGTGGAACGCACTCGTACATGACGTGCTTGTATGTCGAATACAGCACGGCCGAGTCTTTTGTTCTACGCGCTAGCCGTGGTTTAATTGTTTTTATGTGGGGTCTAAAAAAATTAATCCTGAGAAGATTGTACATAAAATTGCAGGCTAAAACATTTAATAGATGAAGACATAAAAGGGTACGCTTTGGTTATGGAATGAATTAAACGGGCTTTACCGTTCTTGTCGTCGTCGGGCAATGTGAAAAATGCCCAGACACCTAAAATAACAGCAGCAGGACCAAATACAAAAAAAGGCCACCCGAAGCCGCCCAGTTGATAGAGGCCGCCACCTGCCAAAGGGCCGAAGACTATCCCAAGCCCAAATGACATTTCTAAGAACCCCTAAAAATGAAAAAAAAGAAACATTTTTATATGAGACCTTAATCAAATAACCGAAAAGCTTTGGACGTGAAAATACTTTTCAACACAATATGACGCCTCCGTTTTTATTGTTGTACTTACGTAGGCCGTGGCCGTCTCTTTCCTAAACTCTCTGGTTATTATAGCGTAGTTTGCTGTTATTGTCATTGCTGCTCCGACTGATTCCATCACACGAACCGCTATTCCGAGCCCAAGAAACCATTGGCCAGACTTTATTTCTCCTAGAAATCTTTAAAAAGGGAGATATTTAGGAGCTAGCTCTATTATTCCACATGTTGTCGGAGGAATTAAACAATATTTAGTAGAAAACTAACCCCATGACATGAATTGTTAAAAAATAAAAAACTAAATCCATGCCAGAGAATGTCTTTATAATAATTGGAATAGTTGGCGACTACATCACGGTTGATTTGCATTTTGCTGAAAATCATGTTTCAAATAAAAAAGAAACCACGAGACATGTAAAAAGAAAGTATATAAAAATGGCACGTTTTCCGCAATTTCCAAATTCTACAAACAGTCTTTTTAGTCTTTGGAACTAAAATGACTTCAATGGCCATAAAAAACTGTACTTACCCAAACAGAAAAGCCATTAAACTGTACTTACCCAAACAGAAAAGCCATTAAACTGTACTTACCCAAACAGAAAAGAGCTGGATCCAAGCACTACCAGGCCGACCCAGTAACACCACCTGGCTCCTATCAGAGATAACTGAAATGAAAATAGGTATAAATCTTCTGTGTTTGTATTTTCCTTGAACAAACCACAAACCGTATTTTGCATGTTGTTGCTATCCATGTTCAGAAGTCAAGTTCACTCTGTAAACTCGTTTGACTCCCTAGCTAATGGATCCACCAGAGACTTTATGGGTAGACTTACTTCCCTTAGTTTTTAAGGGAAGTAAACGATTTTACGTTGATTTTCTCCTTTTCCGTTTAAAACAAGGTCTTAATCTCTTTTTTATGCAGACAGCTTTTATTGTGTTTTATATACAACAACGTTCTTGTAGAGTACTTTATTCCCGAAGTTGTCAATTTTAAACATTTTATTGTTATTTATGACTGTTAATAAATATATATCTTTATCTTTTTATCTTTAAACTATATAAATGTACGACATGTTGTTATGAAAAAGATGTTTTACACGACTGGACGCAAAAAAAAATTGCCATATTAGAAAAACAATTAACCGTACGCGTCCTTAGGTGTGAGCTCTAACCGGGCGTATGTGTATTTTACATTTTTAAAACATTTCTCATCCACAAGTCCTTGGGTAACATTTTGGGGAGAAGCATCTTTTTCTCAATAAACCAGGCATTGAATGCACACGCTTGTGTTGCGCATTGGTTGAGCGTGAGGTAGCTACATATTAAAACTGTTGGTAGGATACGTTGACTTAGACCCCATTTCCAGAGATTAGATCGATCTACTTTAGATCGACCTAACTCCCTGGGGGGTTCACGCAAAATAGCTGTCAGCGGGGCGGACATGAAAGTTAATTATCCTCCTACAGCTTGTAGTAGGCGGGACGGACATTTAAGCCGGATTATCTGACAGTAATCTAGTGAGACTCCCCGCGGGGATAGATCGATCTAAAAGCTCTGGGAATACAGCCTTACATACCCGAGTCCCTATGAAAAGAGTACAGCTGATTTTGGCGACTTCATAGCACCCGAATATGGCCCCCGCAGAAGTTAACGAAAGACCCTTTGCTACAGCCTGGAAAAGAAGGCGGTTTCGAGGTGCAATATTGCAGCATGCATGCATTAACCGGCTTTATAGTTTCAAATACATATATACAAATGTATTATAACACGCGGAAGAAATATTTGCTCTGCCAAATGTAGTCCCCATTTAGCTACATTCCAAATGTTATAGGTATTACTTATCATATATAGCCCAGCAATTTGGCGAGAACAGCATGTATTTAATCTATATGCAAAACATTTTTATAGCTATAGAAAATGTCTGAGTGTTTTATATGTGAAATAAATAAATAAGGTGACACGTGAGAGTCCGAATATCACCGCCTAATCCAATATGACTCAATAAATATTTTCATATTACATAGGTTAAATAACATTTAATGTACAGTGTATAATTTCCATAAAATATAGGTTAGATACCAGGTGTTTTATACGAGTATCCATGTCACCCTAGAGAAAATTCTATAACCAAGGGAGAAAAAAGTATGTTGATTGCTTATTTCCTAATTTGTTAATTCTTAAATAGCATCCTATTGTTCAGTATAGTACAAAAAACAGTGCAAATAGTTCTTATTATACGAACCACCATGTAAAAGTACCCAGATGAACGTTAACATCATTTTCTCTTCCAAGCGCCCGCAGAATTCGATCTTTTTAAGGATGTATTAAAAATCTCCATATAAGTTACCATCATTGGAATGTTCTTTCTCTCATCTATGCATAAATATTAAACTTGAATCTTTGAGTACAAAATTTAAATGCCTGCCCTTTATGACAATATTTGATATACAATATTTTTCGGAAAAGTAAAATACCATTTCTACAACCGTATTATGCTTCATGCTTGTAGATCATGAAAGTGCATGTTCTAGGATTTTTGTGTGGTCAAGCTCTGACCTGACTGTTAGTTATATTTAACCGTGATACTGTTATGGAAATACTGTGCGGACCAAATACAAGAATGGAGCGGAAATTGTAACGAAATATTGAAATAGTTGAAGATGGGGACTGAGCAGACGGCGTGAGAGAGCGAGAGAATGACACCGAAAAGTGTTCAACCTTACCTCGTCTCTCAGGAATGGCTGGAGCACGGAATAACAGCCGAATAAAATGATGTTGGTGAGACAACCGTTCATCAACGTGACTTTCTGCAGGGTACTCCAACGTTTACTATCTTCCCCATTTTCTTTACAATCAGATTCCATATTTGTGAAATAATTTAGTGAAACCGAGTTAATGCAGTAAAAACGTGTAGCGTTTAGTTTTTGTAGTTCTAGTGGGTCCACGGCGTTGAAGTACTTTTTCGTCTCCACGCAGTGAATGTGAACAAAACTGAAAAGATGCACGTGATTTGCACACAAAACAGTATTCAGCTGATTATGCTAGAAGGTTATTACTATAAATAGGGTTAGCAGTACCAGTATTTGCCGTCTGTATAGGGCTTCTCTTGATGACTTGGAGAATCAATGGAGACAATAACAAATAAATAATGAAATTAACTCAATACAATTACAAAAACCGATTTCAAACCATTGACTGAAGACAGTTTGCGCTAAGGATTCCTGGCTGATGATGGCTGAGATGGTAGCATGCAGTTCCTTAATTACGGTGATTACTCATCTCCTCAGAGCAACCCTGCCGAAATAACGGCGATAGTGCATGCAGACGTCTTAGGACAGTAAATTCAGAAACTTGGTTCATTTTTGGTTAAATGTTGCAGCCAAGTTCCTTTATATCACGAAATGTTTTCTGTCATGCATATACACGTAACCTGTAATGTAAAGTTGAATATACGCCAGCTGACACGTCAACGTGTTTGTACAGCCATGTATAGAGCACTTCTGGAAGAGAGTATATAGATATAGCACAAATCGTCCACTGCATGCAACATGAGAGCCATTAATTAAGGCGTAGTCGACATAATTGCATTTAGCACACAGTGGGAGTCAATTATACGTACATAAGTATCGGTACTCTTCAACAAATGTCATCAGCTGAGTGATGGCGTCAATTATGAGCAAAAATTAATAATTAGCCAGAGAAATATCTGTGGATATCTAGTAAAAAAGCGATGTGTGCTTCTTGTAGATAGTACAATGTAGGTTGTAACCGACTTATCCTACGGCTGGCGCATCAAACGATAGGTTTATTGTGCCCATTTATTTCGCTTTTATTGCAATATTGCAATATATTAGAATGCAACGGAATGCAACCCAGCGCACGCCTTTGATAGTACTTTGGCCAAGTACACCCTATCATTGGAAGTTGCGGCATCATAACAAATACATTGGCACTCTCTTGTTGGGTTTTAGATCGCTGAGGATATTTGGGTACTTAATGGCGTTTATTTGTTCAGTTATTGTAATTTTGTTTGTTTTTTTTTCACCAAATGTATATAGGGAGTTCTTTTATCCATAAAACCATGATGACGAATGCTATCCTTTTGATGATGAATGATAATCCTTTTCTACATGTATCATCTACAAATAGTTCATGATATATAACAGCTGTCTTATATTTTCATCTGTGAATCTTTCACTGATAATTCTTTGCTGGTTATCATTTATTATATCCGGATTATTGTTTTCAATCTACTTTTCAATCCACTTTCAAAACAATTTGAAATTATTATTTTTGTAAGGGGTATTCACTTTTAAAATAGGACGCTATTTTTTTTAATTCACTCATATATAACCACCAATCTACCGTAAAGAACAAAGACGTGACTTTCTTTTTGTCATTTATTATCTTTTCCTGTCTGGATGAAATGTTTTTCTGTTCCGTAATGCGGCATATCTTTGAAAATTAGCAATTCCCTGATAGACTTTACCGGCGCGTATCCCGACGTTCTTCCACGTAGAGCATGAGCGATTGTAAGGTACATCAACAGCACACTTACCTGAAATATAAAAGAATATGCTTAATAAAACACACACTCACGATGTCGAAACGTTGTCTACTGGAAAATTCGTACTAGAAATGCGGTCATTGTCAGGACAGTGGCAACCATCATCCAGGTAATTACGAAATACTTACTTCCGGTATCGTCACTGTAGACCTACTATAGGGTAGTACTGTGATTTTGTAACAAAGGTAAATTGGCCCAAAGTTAGTCACGTCGCCAACAGAAACAATGTCAGGAAGTGACATTCTAAAAATCATTGAATCGCGCGTACTTGATTGCTGTTGGAAATTGAATTCCAAAATTTTTTACCATATTTTCTCTATCATGTATTGGTATATACAATTTATCGCAACTGGAAGGGAAATGTAAGGGGGGATATAGTGTTACGTGCTTAAATAAATTAACTGGCTTAAAAAAAACTTTCCATCCTAACTTTACTTACATCTCCCAGACAAAGACCCGTTAGCACACCTGATAATGTGCTAAAAGGATAGCTGTCCAAGACACTTCCTCCGATTATAGGACCACTGAAGTCCCTGAAAACAACCATGTCAAAGTTCAAAATATTATTTGCATCTACAATATGATGAATTAAGAATAACATGGTGGTTTTAAAATGAAAATGTACGTGCGTTATCAAGATACGGGAGGTCCATTTACTTTTGTGGACAAGCACGCTTTGTCTGTACAGAGACATGTAAACTGCTAGGTTGAAAGTGAATTTTTTTTTTTTTTTTTTTTTTTTTTTTTTCAAACATACATGCTGTTTAGGGGATTGGTGAGTAGGATAATGTAGTTTAAACGAAAGATTCCGAAACTAACAACAAAAGTGAACAGTGAACGGGCCTTCGTTTCGCTTTCTCGTTATCTCCGGAGGATACGGATGTATCTCTATATAACCAAATTACAAAGATCCCAATTAATTTTCTATCATTCTCTTTCCAAACTGGAGTTCTGCTAAAGATGGCTTAGGAAACGCATTTGCAAAAAGAAATATATATATAGTATTATATATATAATTAAAAGAATAATAATAAACATATGTTTCTAGAATGAAATTATGAAGACACTTGCCCTATTCCCATGGATGTTTCAAAAGTGGCAGATAGACTTCCGTATGTGGTCATATCATCTGGTAAGCCCGAGGCCCTGCAATAAAAAACGACCAATCTAACTCATTACAATAACATTTATGTATCCTTGATGTAAACCGACTGAAATAATATAACATAACAATTCAGAGAATAGGACAAACTCAAGTATGACGTTCGAAATTTGGCCGATGACGGACACATTTATTGAAGGTCCCTCTGATAATAGAAGTGAAGTATTTTAGCGATAAACATTGAATTATGTTGAGTAATTGTATTTACATAATGCTTACGCCTGAAAACATGCAGTTATTATATTATTTCCAAGCAAATAGTGCACACATTACAGTTTGTGGGATTGCAAAGAGGCAAGCCATTATAAATCTCAACTAAGACAGTGGAACACGATACGTTGCAACTAACGCAATGACAGTTTAAGCCTTGTTTTTATTTCACAATGGGACGTTCTTTGGTCTGTTTCAAAAAGCGTAAACTCACGTTGCATCTAATAAACGGTCTGCCATTACTGCTACGTTGGTACACGCCGAGCCTATCCCAAGGGTGCAACTTCCTAGGTATATACTCCACGACGCACTAAAATATAGACCAAGGCGTCCATGCAAATTATAAAAGTTATAATCTAAATTTTTAAAAAGCTCAAAAATATTTTGCCAACTAGACGTGCTACTAAACCAGTGTACTATTTTTTACTTTCGACCCTATGATGGAATGTTACTGCAAAAACGCCGACAACCTTTTATTTTGTTTCTCTTATGCAAAAAATTACCAAACATGAATAAGATGAAAGAATCTAAAGGTTACGATCTCAAATCTTTATACAGAATGGATGTACACTGGGCCATAGACTCCCTCTAGCTTCGGAGGTACTTCCTTTACCACCAGCCCCGCCCCTTTCCCCCACCCTTTTCCCCGCCCCCTTTCCCCGCCCCAACCCCAACAGAAAAAAAAAAACTATTGTAGACAGATCCAGGCCTTTTTTTTAATCTTGCCCGTGTATGATATGACTAAAATGATTTCTCCACTATTTTCAAAAGAAAAAAGTCCCTTGCCTCCCTTTAGAATGGTAAAATATGGATCCACCAGTGGATGTTTACAGCGGCAAGTTAAAGCCCCCTCACACTGGAGAGTAAAAAAAAAATACTTTACGTGCGACAGCTGGTCAATCATTGAGCATTCATTCTGCAACCAAATCGCTTGTGCCTCCTTTCTACGACTACAGTGATGCCAGTTTCTTGGACACACAAAGGACGTTAAAAGGACGTCGTCCAGTGTAAATGGGGGTTTAAATCCTTGCATTATCTATAGAAAGGGCACATCGACCTGTAGGCCTACTTACCCTTCACCATTAGGGTACAGACTCGTAACTGGAATCCAGGGCCCCACTAGAGTATAACCTAATGTGGAGACAAATAGTCCAACAATAACCTGCACTTTGTTGAGGTTCTGGAATTGAAAAAACAAAGATACGTGACATAAAATGGCGCCATTTTTTGGAACAGGTGCATTACACTAGAGGACATTACACGTATTACATACCATTGATAACACATTATTTTCATTTTGGTGGGTTCAAAGGGGGACAATTACGTACACAACATGGTCTGAAGATGTGTCGATATGTTTTAAGACGCACCCGCTACGTAATGTTACGTTCTCCCAAGTTGTATACGTACCAGTAGACAACAATGTATTTTGAGAAAAGAAGGTTCATAAAAAAGTAACCTCTGGCAGCCTTAGAAGATATTCTAACTAAAGTAAATCAGCTTCTATAAAATCAAACTCAATACTTACCAATTTATTGGATAATAGTCCAAACAGGGGCACGGTACATGAGTATGTAAGGCCAATGAGAGAAAATGCAAGGCCTATCATCACGTGGTTGCCCTCTAATTTGCTGTCCACCTAGAAATAAACAGGAAATTACATCCACATCAACTATATTAATAATACAGTTTACTTCAGTTATATTTCAACTGCTTTTTACAGAGACCACATAAAGGGCATTGTGCCCTAATTATGAAATTGTAAACGAGACTTACCTATACACAAGGAGCAAATGAAGTAAACAACCCTGCACACAAGGGTCAGATGAGGGAAGCGACCAACACGTCATCATTTGCTCAGAGATCAATACAATGGAAATTGCCACAAAATTATTTAATTCTATTTACTCCTCTTAAAACGTGTCTGGATTCTTTGTTTTCATTAACTACTTTCTAATAAGGGCACACGAGCGTTGTCCAATGATTTTTAATGTCTTGCACAGATCCGTTTTCTCAAATCAAGTTAAGCATTGCACTTTTAGGCTAGGGTTTATCGTCCGTTTATTTTAAATTGCGTCAATTATGAAATACATTCCGATGAAAACATTTTGGGTGTTAATAGCTTACGTTTTCCAAGTGTCGCCCAAGTGTCGGTGACAAGGACCCGATTCCGAAATACAATATAAACACCGCAATGTATTCTAATACAGCGACAGGTTTCTTCAATATCTGCAGCACCTGGCCGTGTTGCGAAGACTTTTCTAAAATAAACGTAAGCAATACCACATGAAAGTCATGCGCGCACATAAAATAACCAGCAAAGCAATACGTTAAATTTCAGCAGTCAACTCCACGTGTGCGCCGACTTGAAATGTATCAGTTATTCTGTGTAATCTGTGCCTCTAAATTAAGGAACAGTACGCAACAAATGCAAAGATTGTTATACATAATAAGAAAATATATAAGTATTATGTGTCAAATCTCTATCTGTCTTCTTCTGCACCACAGTGAATAGCAGTTATAAAAAAACTACCTGAGG